TGAAATCCACTGGGAAGGGTAGGCTGGCCACCTGGAAACTCAGTCTAATGCTATAAGCTTGAGGCAGTTACTTCTGTGGTATACCTGTTTTTATTCTTAAGGCCTCCAAATGATTGGATGAATCTTACCCTCATTATTGAGGGTATCTCCTTTACTTAAAGTCAACTGATTTTAGATGTTATCCCAACTACAAAACACCATTAAAGCAACTGTGAAGTAACACTTACTTTGATTAAGCAACTGAGTACACTATAGCCTAGACAACTTGATACACAGAAGTAACCATCACCTAGAGGAAGATAGCAGTAGGAGAATCCTGAACCAGAGTCAAGGCAGACTACATAGATTGTCAGAAGTACAAATGGGCCATTACAACCCAGAAATCCAGAAAAACTGAAGGTATATGTCAGAAAAAAGCTGAAGATTCTAAATATTGAGGTAAATTGTCATGTAGAGTTGCTCTTTCTTTCATACAATCAATTTGACCCAGTAACAAAACCTACAAAATGCCATGAAGAGGAAGTCTGATATCTGGTGGAATCTCATTTCGTAGATAACAGGAACCAAGGTGATCGTGGACAAGTCATCAAACCCCTCACGTTACCTAAGGTTGTCAGTAGAATTGGCAAGTGTGATAATGTTTGCAGAGTAGAATTCAGAAGCACAGTCACCTCTGAGAGCAGTATTTACACTGAACTTGAACATACAATGTCACTTGGAGGAACTATTTAAAAAGTACCTCTGCTTTAGTCAAAACTCCAGAAGATTCTAATTCCACTGAAGTGTAGCCTGGGCTTCAGGGTTTTTTAAATATTTAAATTTTTAAAAGTACCAACCCATGGGCATAGACTGGGGTGGGGCAGGGGCTGGGAGGAGGGGCAAAGGGGGTGATGGAAGACATCGGAGTGTGTGTGTGTGTGTGTGTGTGTACTTTGGGTGCTTCTAGGTTTATTCTCTGTGGAGAACCACTTAGCAAAGTATTCAAACATGTTNTTTGGGTGCTTCTAGGTTTATTCTCTGTGGAGAACCACTTACCAAAGTATTCAAACATGTTTTTGTTCATTAATGTTTTTTAACAACCTGATAGTTCATTGTGAGCCATGGAAAGAATTGTTCAAGGTGCTGGTAACTTCTAGTTTTAAAAGTAATTACTTCTTTTTCAACTGAAAAAAATTTTAATTATTGAATTTATTGGGCTGATGGGCAACATTGGTTAATAAAATTATATAGGTTTCAAGTGTACCAGTGCATAACACATCATGCTGCACCTGTGTTCATCACACGAAGTCAAGTCTCCTTCTAGCACCCCTTATCCCCAGTGTAGCCCCTCTACCTCCCCCCATTTCCCCTTCCCTCTGGTAGTCACCATACTGCTTTCTGTGTGTGTGTGTGGGGGGTGTTGCTTAATCTGATCACCTGTTTCACTCAACACCCCCTTCTGTCCCCCTGAAAGTCCCTTCTCTCTGACAGCTCTAAGTCTGTTCTTGGTATCTGATTCTGTTTCTACTTTCTTAGTTTATTTTGTTAATTAAATTCCACATATAAGTGAAATCATATGGTATTTGTCTTTCTCTGACTAGCGTATTTCACTTAGCGTAATATGCTCCAGGTCAATCCATGCTGTCACAGAAGGTAAGATTTTCTTTTTTGTGGCTGCATTGTAATCCACTGTGTAAATGTACCACAGCTTTTTTATCCATTCATCTACTCATGGGCACTTGGACTGCTTCCAGATCTTGACCA